CGGTCACATCGTCGGTGGAGGCCCCGCTCCCAGGAGGACACAGCCGAGGTGCCACCCTCGCTCCCCACGGCATCCACGCTGTCGGCGCACATCTGTACACTGCTGCCTGCGCTGCCACTGAACCGTCCTCAGCTGCTGGCGCTCGCCGGCGCTTGCGTCACCGTCACCCTTGAAGGGCGCCCGCTTGCCCGCAGCCACTAATTGGTGCTTGGCCTTTTCAGTGGCATCTGCGTTTTTGCAACACTGGCACGAACACTCCACTTACACAAAGAAATTGCATAAGCTGCTGAAGGCCTGGCAGGCACGTGCCCCGAGCTCTCAAGCAAGGACCTTGTGCATCTGCATACAAGTGAAATAGTTGTATGTAAATAATTTTTACCACAGTGAGGTTTGGTCTGAGCGGTCACACCAGTGTTTACAACAAGATGGTTACTGTGTAGCAGTTCTGTATGTAAACACCTAAAGCAATTTAGTGTTTCCGTAAGCCTAGGTATAAACAAGGTCTTCCATTTCTTCAAACAGTCTTGTGGCATCTTTAGTTTATTTGCTGGGGGTTTTATGCATGGGCTTTGATTACAGTAAAAATCTGCATATTGACAATCTCTCAAATAGCAGAGTCAAGACTGAAAGAAGTAAAAACGCAGTTGTCTCCATTGCATAAAATACATAGTGAACAATTTACTGTAACACCTTAATTGTAAAGAACTATGCAGCCCCAAATCTGTGTATAAATTATAATCCTCTTTTTAAAAGATTAAGTGTGACAAAGATGATCACAGTGGTTTGTCTATTCTGTAACTTGAGCAGCCTTTTGACATGCTGTCATGGTAAAACCTGCCTCAGAAACCTGGCCTGGTGTGCATCGGTGGATGTTAGGAGAAAACTTGCGTCTGTCTGTGTTCTGGCACATGTCAAACTACACCTCTTTTTGCACGGTGAGTAAACGAAGTGCACCATACGCTGAGCTGCAGCTTCGTGTATGGGCCTGAGACAGATTAATTGCAGCCTTTCATGGGAGGGCCAAAGAGGCAAATGGATTATGTTGGCTCCACAGGATTGTGCTGCCTTCATAATTCTACAGGTATGCTGCAGTGAAGTACAGGCAGCTTATATCTGATTCATCTTATGTATGATGCACCTTTTATTGGTGTGGATGCACAATGCCAACTCAGAGAGCAAGGCAGGCTTTAGCCAGTCTCAGCTGGCCTCCTCGGGTACAAATGTACAGAGACATCCTAAAAGAATCACAAGGAGAAATGTCAATGCATTTCTCAGGCGGAGTGTGTTTCTTTATTCAGAAAGGCAGTGGCACAGCACTCTTCAAAATGCAATTGAGAAAAGCACTTGAGAAAATTTTTGTCATTCAGGCAAATACTTTAATTATCTAAACAGTCAACAGAACAGGTCCTGACTATGAAACTGAAAGGGGGAAGTATCTTATAGCTCCAGCACAAAAGAAGAAAAAGCAGGTACTCATCCAGTTGTGTCACAGAACTTTCTACCCGACACTCGCTTATTCCCTTACTTAAAAACAGCAGTTCAGCTCTATGGAGCACTGTAAGACAATCAGTTAAAGCCCCTGGTGGGTAAGCATTGGAACAATACTGTTAAAATGAGTACCTGGGAATAATGCTATAGCAAATTAGTTTTGTACTAATGCTCCCTTCTGCGATGATATAAGGAAACCTTGCTTGAGTGAAGTATGTTTTAATCTATTACATTTGTGTAAACAGAGAATTAAATTGTAAATCACAATTCAAGTGGTAGAGATTCATGAGGAGGTTTTAGGAGGACTTTAATCACCTTCATCAATCCTCTACTGTTGGTGAAAATATCTACTACTATAATTTGCTTGAGCTAGTTAGCCCTCATTCATTCTACATGTTAGAGGGTAAAGATATCTTAAGATATTAGCCTCAAATGGAGAAAAAAATCCACAACTCTGAAAAATGACCGGTAGATGATTATGGATTTTTAATACACAAAGGAACACTAACAATACAATGAGTGGGTTATGTTGTTAAACCAAAAAGGTCATGGGTATTCAGGTATCTCCTCAAGATTCTTTTGGGTCAACATCACTACTGAAGGTTACTTGTCCCCTGAAATTATCTGATACTCTTGATATTCCGCTTCCATCATCCTTATATAGTGTTCTTTTAATGTAAGGTTATATTTTGTGATCTGCTGTGTATGGTGCTTTCCTTCACAGGTGATAATGCTGAGGATTTTTTTTTCAAAAGAAAAATTTCATTCAGTTGTCAGTCCTAATACTTACAGGCACTTTCTTATTGACATAGCCACAACTGAATAATAGTTTCAGTGGGTGTTTGAATAACTAGTTGCAGAATTGAGCTCTCAGATGTCCTTATAAAAAGGAACAGTATTTCTATAGCACACTCCACAAAGGTCTATGAAATATATAACAATATAAATAATGCTCACCTCCCAATGTTGTCTATTAGGACATAGCATCTTAAAACATATCATTATTTGATTTTGCTAAGGCCAGTCCCTAATGAATAATTAACATCAAAATACTAGAACTTGGCATAGGAGCTAGTCAGAATTCAAAACATTTTTCACTGACATTACAGCTGCTGCAGCAATGTTTCATGAAGTTGCTTTTTTCAAGTATGCAATGAGATCAGCTCTTTCATTCTGCTTTTTAATTCCAGCAAAAATCATTTTTGTACCAGGAATGTACTTCTTAGGGTTTTCCAAATACTCTGTCAGTGTATTCTCACTCCAGGCAATTCCTGAAAAACAAAAAACATAGTAAAATACAAGGCTGGCCCAACATCATATATTTATGAAAATATCAACGGTCTCAAATCAAAGGTGTGATGCTCCTGAACATAATGTGTCTAGAATCCAAGAGGAATGTGAGCATAAATGATACATAATATAAAATGCACAAGGTATACATTGTCTTTGTGTCACTTTAATAATTCAAATATAAATCCTTTTTGCATCATGGAGAGTTGCAGTTCTCTGCACCATTTCACATACAACTACTTACTACTTTTAAACTATGTAAGTATCTTTGTAATTCCAGCTTTGGTTTCATACAGTTGCTGAAAATGAGCATCGACAGATTGACATGAAATTCATCAAGGCTGTGCTCCATTGGAGGGCATTAGAAAAAGGGTTGTCAATGGCCAGTTCCTGGAATCTCTTGAAAGAAGTTGAAAAACCATTGGTGTTTCTTTCCAACCCGGCTAAAACCTGTCTCTGTCAACAGAAGCCTACTGTTGTACTGAAGACTACTGAAATACCTGTAATGACATGTTCAAGTTTCTCTTCTGCCCTCCAGAGCTGACTCTTCCCATTGTCTAAGGTGGATTCAGATATCACTTTGTTGGCTTTATTTTAAAAACTTGTACTAACATCTGTATGATTTGTTCACTAAATTTTTTTTTAAAAATAGTTAATATATGCTGACGATGTTTTGTATGATGCTTTGTATGAATGATATGTAAGTATCCACAGCGTGGATGCCGTGGGGAGCGAGGGTGGCACCTCGGCTGTGTCCTCCCGGGAGCGGGGCCTCCACCGACGATGTGACAGTCGCTGGCGTAGGCTGAGGGTCTGTGCCTGCTGCCGCGCGTGAAATCCCTGTGCTTCACAGCCCCGGCAGCGTGTCAGCAGCGCACTGAGAGAAACGCTTAAAAGATTAGTATTTCAGTCACATATTCATACATACAACACATGTATGTATGAATACATGTGTTCAGTATAACATGAACATCACAAAACATTTCCTAGAAATCACAGAAAAATAAAAAAGTCAGCCAATTCTAAAACACCTTAATAACCAGAAAAAAACCAAGACTGTATTTGTAATTAATAGCTTGATTTAAATAATATAATTTATATTCAAATAATATGAATAAAACAAATGAAATCCACACAGAATTACTTTCCATTTTTAGATGTTCCACTGCTTTTCAAGACTGTCTGTATGAAAAACAAGACAAGTCATAGCTTACTAGTAGGTGACGGTATTTAGTCAAGTGTTCTGAGCAAAACAACTGCAGCACACCACGATGCCAGTAGAGGGTAGTGACCAGCAAACAAAATTTAAAAGCACTCTTAAGAAACAGAAATTAAAATCTGCCCATTGACACTACAAAGTTCTGGGAAAGCTATATACCTTCTGACCTGGTGTGCTGAATATTGGTAAAATTTCTTTTTAATATAGGGACCGAGGATTTTTGTTTCTGAAACTATAGTTCAGATTCATCTGCAGTAATGCAAAGTAGACAGTTGTGAGAGTAACTCCTTTGTGAGCAAGGCTTTCTTTTGTACCTCTGAAGGAAAAGTTTTTTTTCATGTATGTCCCCTCCAACACTGCACCTCATCCATGTCACCTGTTAGTTTTACCTTTGTTCTTTTTTGCATCTGATTAAGAAAATCCTACAGCTTGTCCTGTTCTGTGGCCAGATAAACCCCAAAGATTCGGTCCTGTCTTGTGCTTTCCATCTTTTTCAACTGTGTAGCACTGAGAACATCTCTGAATAAAGATCTTCTTTGCCTTTTTGAACATCAATCATTTTGAGCTATGTAAAAAATCTTAAAAAAAAAAGGAAATTTGAACAATATTACAGAAAAGTTCACTGTTGTTGGTCACATATATCATCTCCTTCTACAGTTTTATAAAATATTTCTGTCTTGCACGGTAATAAAAAATAATGTGTCTCAAAGTAATGAAAATTTGACCCGGACTTAATTGTAAAGGTAAGTTTGGGTAAGACTCTGTTAAGCTGCACGATTTCTTAACGTGATCTGGTTGCTGATAGTCATGAATTAATTTTTTTTTAAGTTACCCAATTTACAATTAGAAAAAAGCACCATGGGTTTTTTGCTGCATCTCCGAGAGGTACAGAATTACAGAATTTGTTATTCTTATCTTTGGAGGTTAAGGTAGCTTTAAGTTCCTTGACTGCTCTTCTAGAGCTACTTTGATGGTAAGGGTAAAGGTCAACATACTTTTGTCTAGAAGGCCGATCTAAAACACAGCAGCACCTCAGGATTTCCCTGTGGGTCGCAGTGCTACCTAGAACGTCTCCAGAACTGAATGTCTCCAGAACAGAATTCAACTCCCCCTCCAGTGCCTGTCAGGACACGTTCATGATAAGGGGGATTTCCAGAGGCAATAGCCTGGACAGAGAGGGAAGGTGCCTGCGAGGCCGCCCTCGGGCCTGTGTCTGCCAGGGAAAGGAGAGTCAAGCACCTTTTGGCCATCGGAGGGCACGAAAGGCAAGGCTGCCCCACTGCTCCCCAGTGACACCCAGGCACCAGCCACCCCTCCTAAGCCCAGCCAGCCACCCGCTGCCGCTCTGCACTCGGCCCGTCAAAAAGCAGGTGTCATCAAAGCGACGTCCAAGCGGAGAGAACAACTCAGCACGTTCTCTCCTGGTTGGTGTGTCGCAGGCCCACGGGGTGGGATTAAGCATTGCGCCCTTCTTTCTGGGGGGAGCGGTAGGTGGTGGGTGTCGCGTGCTGTGCCAATGGTCCCAACAGTCAGGGGGGGGACGACACACATGACAGTGTCATGCCACCCCAGGCAGTGCTGCCCTCCCTCTGCAGGCACCTTCCCCACGCCAAAATGCTTGCTTTTCAATCTGAGTGGCATTGCGGCCCTGTCATGGCTCCACTCCGCGGTGTCAGGAGTTGGGAAAAAATGAGTGCAGAGTTCGGTGCTGGAAGGGACGTCGCCTTCCAGCCCTAAAACACTGCTCCTGATGTCTTGAGTCATAACCTTGCTTTTCTCTAAAGACTTCCCACTGGTGTGCAAAGAAAGAGCTTACTTGATTTTCCAAAATACTCCTTTACATGGAACCAAACCCAACCACTCTATCCAAAGTATGTTCCTCTAAAAATATTCATCGACCTTCTACATTACACTCCCAAAACAGGACACCATTTAACCCCCACAAAAATGCTGCTTCCAAGGCCACCACCAGGACTGCGCAGTGCTCAAAATACTGCCTCCTCCAGATCTTCAGATTGCCAGACCTTGCCTCCATGAAACTTTGTTGATATGAACTTGACAACTACATCTGCATATGTGAAAGAGAGAGGGGATTTCTGCATATTTAATTTGCTTGTGGAAAATAATAGAAATAACATGCATGCCCTGATCCCCCGATTTCTTAATTTAACCCTGTTTTGCACCAGGAGGTGTTGGTCCATTATAATCCCAGTAAGAACTTAGACCCTGTAAAGTATCATCTACAATGCTATTTATTTACAATGCTAGCAGAAAAGAATAGCATAGGTGATCTCATGTTCCTTTAGATGGTGGGAGACCCAGGTGGTGGGGTCATTGAGCAGGCCACTGGCCCACACACAGCGTGCCATGCAAACCTCCTCCATAGCAGAGATTCTCCCCTTTCAGTCTCAAGCTTTTATAAGATTTTCTTACAAGGAAACAACTCTATCATTTCTGCAATCAAAACAGAAACGATGCTCTCATGAGACCTTCTTGCTGCATTGTTAGACAAAGCCAAGGCCGGGCAGGAGGTGTAATTGCTGGTACCAAGAGGGAGCTGCCCACAGGCTCCTCTGTAATGACGAGCTGGCTAAGTTTATCCCGCGGCCAAGGGATGCGCGCAGCACGGCACGGCCTGAAGGCCTGGCTGTACCTACAGCACAGCCCAGCACAGCCCCAGCCTGCACCTGCCCAGGGTAACCGTATTGTGGATCACTGACCCCTCGGTGTGCAGTGGTCAGGGCCACTACAACCCTAGGGCACTGACAGCTCCGATATTCAGCTGAGGAATTCTTTATTTTTGAATCCGACTATTAAAGATGTGATGAACTTTATAACAATATTGCATTCTTCACATTTTATTAGCTGTGTGCTTGTTTCCTACAGATAGTTATTTTTCCTGGATATTTTTTGTGTTCGTTTCCCATGAAATACATAAAGTTCCCTGGGCTTCTGTATCCTGAGAGTTCACAAGATGCATGTTAAGCCCTGCTGTTGCCTATATCAGCAAAGGCCTTGAAAATGGTTTCTTCATAGAGGAACTCTTGCTTTATGATACTAGTGCTGTTTCAAAGGAGGTGGGTCACCATGTAGTGTAGCGAGTCTCTGGCTGAAGGAGGCCCTTTAAAAATAAATAAATTATTGCAGCAGAAGTGAGTATGTTAGGGAAATATTGACACAAGGTACAAAACTGGGAGGAGTGGTCGATACACCAGAGGGTCATGCTGCCATCCAGATGGACCCGACAGCCTGCAGAATGATCTGACAGGAGCATCAAAAAGTTCAACAAGGGGAAGTGCAAAGTCCTGCATTTGGGGAGGACCAACCCCATGCACCAGTACATGCTGGGGGATGACCAGCTGAAAGCAGCTTTGCAGAAAAGGTCTTGGGCGTTGTGGTGGACACCAAGGTGAACATGAGCCAGCAATGTGCCCTTGTGGCAAAGAAGGCTAACGGTATCCTGGGCTACATTTGAAGGAGTGTCACCAGCAGGACAAGGGAGGCGACCTTTCCCCTCTACTCAGGACTGGTGAGGCCACACCTGGAGTACCGTGTCCACCTCTGTGCTCCCCAGTATGAGAAAGACATGGACATACCAGAGAGAGTCCAGCAAAGGGCCACAAAGGGACTGGAGCATCTCTCCCATGAGGAAAGGCTGAGAGAGCTGGGACTGTTTAGCCCAGAGAAGAGAAGGCTCAGGGGGATCTCATCAGTGTGTATAAATAGCTGAAGGGATGGAAAGAAGAAAATGGATCCAGACTCTTCTCAATGGTGCCCAGTGACAGAACCAGAGCCAATGGGCACAAACTGAAACACAGGAGGTTCCATCTGAACATCAGGAAACACTTTTTTACAGTGAGGGTGACTGAGCACTGGCACAGGTTGCCCAGAGAGGTTGTGGAGTCTCCCTCTTCGGAGACATTCAAAAGCCGTCTGGACACGGCCCGGGGCAGCCAGCTCAAGGTGGCCCTGCCCGAGCAGGGGGTTGTCCCCGCTGACCTCCGCAGGTTCCTCCCGTCCGGTGGCTCTGCGACACCGCCCCCGGCCGGGCGCTGCCAAGGGAGAGGGGGAGCCCGGGAGCGCCTCTCCTCGGCACCAACCCTCGATACGTTTCTGCTTACTCCTTCCCGCCCGCCCGCTGCCGTTCCCGGGGAGCAGGTGCCTGTCTCCTCCAGGGTAGACACGCCGGTGCCCCGGGCAGGCCAGGAGGCGCTCCTGCAGCACAGCCCCTTTCCCCGGGGGGCGAGGTACGCCGCACAGACCGGCTACAGGCGACGCTGTCCC